TTATTTGACTGGAAATAGAGCTTAAAAGTAATATTTAATCAATTGTTGATATAAATTATTTGGCTTTGCCTTGAAGAAGGAAGCAGGATGCATGTTTTTGATGTATCAAATAATAGATTAAGGTTGTTGTAAACATACATATTCTAGCAGTAATTTTATTTCATAGTACATTTCCAAGTATTGTACTAAAATCAGATAACATTAAATGCATTTCCTGTTTGTTGTATATACAACAGTTATTGTGAATGGACCCATTTATCAGAGCTCTTACTATTTGCCAAAAATTGATAATGCACCAAAATGTCACGACGCCAAATGGAGTACATTTACAGTATATCAAATTGAATTTTTGCATTTTAACCAAAATCTTGATTTTAAAGGGATATATTTTTGGGAAAATCATGATACAAACTAATATTGTTTTCTTAAATAGTAATTTTATTTTAAACATTTATTTTTTTCAAAACTACATTCAGTCCTACAAATAGGGGATAAAGTAGACTAACATGAATAGCAATTTTATTTTCAATCATTTCAAACTTGAAATAGAACATCCCAACCCAACCCGATCCCCCCATCCTGATCCCCCCCATCCCCATGGTGAAAATGAAAACGTCCTGTACAGCAGATATTAGATATATTAACTAGAACATAGGATCAGATCAATCAGATGTACTTTAAAAGTGTTTTTTTTTTTGTACTTGTTGATCATCCCACTGCAGTGTCTGTTGTGGGCTTTTTGTCGGGATTATTATGCGACATCGATTGAATAACACATAAAAACATATCAAGGTAATTGATTTGCATGAAAGGCAGTGTAGTAGTATGTTAATAGGTACAACAAGGATTATGTCATGGTTCTGATCTTATCACACAGTAGCGGTCACAATAGATTGTGTTAACTCTAACTTATTATTGACAATGAACTGTAGCATCTGTTTACTCTCAACAGCTGCGGATGTAAAGTTCCATTCTATGTGAAGTATTGAACATCAGTTTAGTCACCATACAAATGGACTCTGTTAAATATCTGTTAATTGCTTTTGCAATGTTTTCTTTGTCTTTAGGATATATTCAATCTAGTGACTTTTACTATTAAAAAATTATTTGGAAGTATGTATGTTTTATAAATAAGGTCGTCTTATATAACTGAAGGTAAAAGCTACTGGTGTTTACATTTGTCATGTTGCTGACAGTTAATCATGGTTTAATGGTGTAACAAACTGTAATGGAAGTACTTTACACAGAGAGACTGCAGCACATGGTAGCATAGATCTGAAATACAATTGTGATAACTGTCTGACTAGGCAGTGTTGTAATTTCAAGTCTGAACTTTTCTTGAAGATAAACATTTTAGTTTTATTGAGCTGTGTTATTGTGTATGTATACAAAGAATTCTATTGACTTTTGAGTACTAAAGAGATAAGACTATACTATCAGGTTTTAGGGAACGTTGAGATAGATTCTTCATACACAACAGGGCTTAAGGTCAATCTTTGGTGATAATGATAAATCAACTTCAATTTTCTGCATGGGAACATTTCAAATATAAAAAATAGCTAAACACCATAAAAAATATCCCAATACAAATATAAAAAATAGCTAAACACCATAAAAAATATCCCAATACAAATATAAAAAATAGCTAAACACCATAAAAAATATCCCAATACAAATATAAAAAATAGCTAAACACCATAAAAAATAAGAGTTTCATTAAGTATGCATTGTACACCAAAAATGCAAACAAAACATCAGAAAAAAAACCCAAACAAATTCAGTGACCGTGAAGATTAAAAAAATACTCCCAACAACTTAAAACTACTTCTTCAAATGTCCTTTATCACATATAACCATAGATTGAAAAGTTGAAAATTCATTTAGTTACCCCACGGCTGTCTTGTAAAATCATACCTATAACAGAGGGTTCACCAGTTCATTGGTGCAAATTTGTGCTGCTTTAAAATGACCAAAGTAATGGTATATATGTGGTCATCTGCAACTTTTCTTCAACATTCGTTTCATACTATTGAGTTGCATTAAGGACTTAAATATCATATAGATCTGAAAACACTGTTATGTGGGAGTGACAACTGGGAAATTGAGCCACCATAATACATAGAAAATCACTTTTGTATGCAGTCGCAGGAAATGAGTTATCTTAGCCTAACTATAGGAAGAAAGGTATTAGCACAAAAAGGTAATTACGCAAAATAAATGAGTGACATCATGTCAAACTTGAGGATGTCAGTCTCTCAACTGAAGATCATAAACCATTAGAGCCTTGCTGAATGACATTCTGTTGGTGTTTTCTGTGATGTTAATGGTTAACAGAAAACTGTCAATTATAGAATACTGGTAACATTCACAGCATATCATAACACTGCATTCTTAATGCAGTTCAAATTCTCCTTGTACATCACTTGCTTTTGATGACTGATAATTAGAGTTGGGAGGATTTATTGTATAATTATGGCTATTTTACTCCTGAAGATGACTGATTGCTCAACATTTTCTGTGGTCTATCATCATGGTCAAACTTTAACCTGAGAATTTACTGAGATTTTCTAGAGATCTTAAAAGTCATTAAATGAGTAGTTCTATAAATGTGATATAGTTTAGTATAAAAAAGAAATATTCACAGAATATCACTTTATGTTGGTGAATGCTGTGGTATAATCCTTTCAGATTATGAGAGATCACTCTACCATGTATCGTTCGAGAAGGAGTGATAATGTTTAATGATGAATTTTGAATCAATTTTCATATCTGCAACTTATGGTATGACTGACATCTGAATGCCCACCTGTAAATATTTTAGGTCTTTATATCACATTGATTTACCATAATTTTGGTAATTTTTGAGGCTTTTTGTTAACCTTGTACAGATGTGATTTCCAATTTGAAATGAGATTTAACAATTTTTGAAAGAAGTTTTCATTTTTGTATTTCAGTAATATTATTCATATTATCAGAAATTTTCACCTGATCTTCATGTACATGAAAATTATTGGCTTTCAATCATGACATGTATCTTGTACGTAGGTTTATACGTACGTCCGGTATGTAAACTTGTGTGTCAGGTATATTTGAGTTTGTGTGTCCATTATGTAAAAATAGGTGTCCAGTATGTTAACTTGTGTGTTCCAATTTGTTAACTTGTGTGTCCAGTATGTTAACTTTTGTGTCCAGTACGTTAACTTGTGTGTCCAGTACGTTAACTTGTGTGTCCAGTATGTTAATTTGTGTGTCCAGTACGTTAACTTGTATGTCCAGTATGTTAACATGTATGTTCAGTATGTTAACTTGTATGTCCAGTATGTTAACATGTGTGTCCAGTATGTTAACTTGTGTGTCCAGTACGTTAACTTGTGTGTCCAGTACGTTAACTTGTATGTCCAGTATGTTAACTTGTGTGTCCAGTATGTTAACTTGTATGTCCAGTACGTTAACTTGTGTGTCCAGTACGTTAACTTGTGTGTCCAGTACGTTAACTTGTATGTCCAGTATGTTAACTTGTGTGTCCAGTATGTTAACTTGTGTGTCCAGTATGTTAACTTGTATGTCCAGTATGTTAACTTGTATGTCCACTATGTTAACTTGTGTGTTCCAATATGTTAACTTGTTTATCCAGAGTGTTAATTTGTGTGTCCAGTATGTTAACTTGTATGTCCAGTATGTTAACTTGTGTGTTCCAATATGATACTTTTGTAATGAATTCAACCATTTTTTTTATTTAATCTGATTATAGATTGTATGGATTTCTGTTAAGAACCTCCCAACATCAGTATAGTTTATTGATGTGTAAGTATATTTGTGGTCCTATCAATTGCCATTAATACCTCACAAGACAAAATGCTTTTCCTTGGATTATTGGTACAGATTGGTCAACCATGTAGATCATAAAAAACACAAAGTTCCATTATTCCACTCTAGGCATGCAGAAATCAATGTTGAATCTTAAGAGTGAAAATATGTACATGTTTGATTAATTAAGTGTGAAACCATTAGAAAATGAAATGGTACACATGGAAATGTATTGTAGGGGAGTGGCATTAATTTTTGTACACCAAATGACATTTAACTGCAGAGGAACCTGCTAATAGAAGACCCTGTGTACTGTATATAGCAACATTTTGTGTAAAAAGACCACATGTACAGTTTATAGTTATTGAACTGCAATACAAAGGTCACCTGTCTATAAAGGCCACTGTGGTCCCTCAAATGACCTTTACAGACAAGGTTGACTATTTCTGTAGATTTATTACATAAGCCATGTAGATATGGAAATGACATTGAAGTTTTTTGTGAATGACATTTCATATTTCGCAATCAGAAGATTTGAGATCTTCTACTGGTTGTGGTATAGGAACTTTTATTCTATTATATACATGTTATATAGATGAGAAGATTTATATTATTTTCCCCGTAAATAACATTGATATAGGTATGGCATATAGAGGAATGATATGACTCAGTGGCCATACAGTATCATAGCAGTGTATGTTGTTAAATAAAAATTGTATTAGATTTGTTTTCTTATTGATAAATAGTACACTTGAACATTAACAATGATAGATTCAGAGGTTGATCTGCATTGCAGCTAATTATATGCTCTTCAGTACAGATCAGACAGATTTGAAATTACAGTTGCATGGAAATTAGGAAAAAAGGGTTTCTAATCGACAGTCTTGGAGAGTTTCCCATTATGTTGGTGCCTGAATCTCTACAGTGTTACATGCTCTGTGCCCATTTTGTCGTCGTTTGTACATCATGACAGGTTTAGTTAGGAGAGGTAGTTAAAATAGCATGTTTATAACATTCACTTCTAATGATAGCGTGTTAATGTTTCCCAAAGGAATTCTTCTTTCTCAGATGGAAATCATTACTTTGCCAAAGACACCTCTTTTTGGTATGTGTATATGATAAACACATGTATATCTGTGTATATATATATTGTTATAAGTTACCTAAATATTTTATGTTTTATGTTTTTACAGATCCCAGCCCTACTATGTCCATGTAGTTTCCATAGCTCATCTGTGTTATTGTCTGGAGGCGGTATGTATACCTTTTAAGCCTGAAGTGATAACTCTGCCTGACCTTCTGGAGGAAACCCTGTAAAATACCAAAACATCACTGTTATTATGCATGGTTCAGAGAAATATCTGATAGGGAAACTACCATTAGCAAACCACTTGCTGTTGTAGAATCACAATGGAGACCTTCAGATTTATACCCTGTGAATGGAATATCCTGGAACTGAAGTTCTATCGATGTCCAAACTGGTTACATAGTATCTCAATGCATATGTCCACTTCTGTTTATCATCATCGTCATCACCATCGTTGTCTCGAATCACCATCATTATCTCTCGTCAACATCATTACCTCTCCTCACTATCATTTTCTGGCACCCACAGTGTCCAGGCCTGATTACAGTGCCTTTATTTGAGATAGTTATTACAGAGATATCAGTGCCAACTCTGACACCATATGTATGGTAGGTAATGCTCTTCACAGCCGTACAGCTGGTATAGCCCAGTGTGTAATACTTCATCCTCACATTCTTCTATAATTAGGTTTGAGGTTCCAGGATGTTCTAAAAATTTCAGATGAATTTCCTTCTTTAGATTTTCAAATGGTGCAGTCATCTGTTATTGATAGGACACGGCAAGGTATAGGAAAAACTGAAGTACAATACTAACGCCCAAAATGAAGTATGGTAGTCCATGAGTTGAATGTTTAAAAATCTATACATAAATGTACTACATTACCACTTAAACTAATTTTATCTACAACAATGTACTACATTTAAACTTAAAATTACAATGTACTACATTATTAACTCTCAGTGAGTGACTTGCATGACAATATACTACAGTATTAATGGTCTAAATGAAGGAGACAGTTCATGCAGTTCGTTTAATTTTGCTTGGATTATAACTTTTGTTGGTTTATATTGACAATCTGATGTACTCTGTGAAATGATTCCGTGTAAAATTGACTATTTTTGCACTGCACAATGTTGCTATTTCAAACTTAAATGGAAGTGAAAAAAAAAAGTAGAAATATTGCATGTTTGTTCTCCCTGTAAACAAGATTACTACACCCTAATGTCACTTGGTGTTATCATAAAGTTGTGTGACGTGGTCATGAATTCCTTACAGCTCATATGCAGGAATAACAGTGATCCAACTATCACAACTAGAGTAGACATGAGGCAAAGGTGATGCTTTCCTTTTATACCCATTTTATGTTGCCATGTGTTCCTTAAACTCTTATCAGATTATGGGATGTGTAACATGCATGTTGGAAGTGAATTAGGCCATGTTTGTAGGCACAAATGAAGATGTTTGAGAGACTCCAGCATTTTATTGAGTGAAACAGGAATTTGGTTGATGTGTGTAGTAAGCTTGGGTCGAATCTAAAGTCTGGCAGCCAAGCTCCTCTAAGTCTGTTACTAAAGCACCTGATATTGATGTACTGAGTGTTTTTCTTATTATTTCAGTAAATGTTATTTCAGTTTGAATGGGAAATACTCAGGCAATTGCTAGTCTCAAATAATAGATTTCCTGATACACTAGGTGGCTTGTTTCCTTTTATGGTAGTAAAGACCATTGTATAAACATCATTGAAGATTTATTTAAATTTCATCGTCAAGGAAAAAAACTCTTCATAATATGTAACTCCATGCCTGTCAAAGGGCCACTATTTGTCTCAAAAAGTTGGACTTAAAATTGTACTATTAAGTAGTCATGATCAAGATTTCCTTTATTGGTTTAGTCTGCCATGTATTAAGGTTAATTGTAATGAGCTGTAGTATTACACATGGTATATAGTTAAAAGTTGTGAGCTGCAATCTGTTACACAGTGTGTATATTGGTAAATGTAACTAACTCTTATATAACACAGCCTATTTAGTTAATTGTTGTCAGTTGTAGTATTACAAAGGGTATATAGTTAAAAGATCTGAGCTGCAGTCTGTTACACAGTGTATATATAGTTGATGTAGCAAGCAATAATTATTGAGGTTTTTCTTTAGTATGCACATTTTCCACTAATTCCCATTCATTTGTATATAATACAAACAAAAAGAGAGCCCAATAAACCCACTGTAGGGAGCCCCTCTTCCTGAATTATAAAGGAAACGAAGGAATTATTCCTAATGCAATCCAGGGAGAAACCAGGCACCTGATTTTTAGCTAAGAAGGAAGAATCGGTGTCCAAAGAAACTACAGTAAACCCCCTAGACCAATGGATACATGAAGGAAGACATGACAAGGCATGAACTTCATTGCATCTGTGCCCCGAAGCCAAGGTAATGAGAAAGACTATCTTGAAGGTGAGAAACTTAGGAGAGGCATTCCCAAGAGGCTCATAAGGGGCTCTATTCAAGGAATCTAGCATGAATGCTAAAAACACAGAGGGTTTCAGCCACCATTCCATCAACACCGGCTGATGACACCTGGAAAGAGTGTCAACCAGGATTTTTAAGCAGCCTGGAAGATGCATCATCTGAATGATCTAGTCTATCTCCTGGCAAAGCAAAAGCTCTTTGATAGCCAAGGCACACAGCACATGAGATCTGGTGCCCCTCTGATTCTCCAGGTAAACAACAACTGTAGAGTTGTCTATTGCCAGACAAATGACCTGTGATTTCAACATCTCTAGAAGGGATTGCAGAGCCAGCAGGATTGCTGTCATCTCCAGTACATTGTTGTGCTCCAAGAGCTGATCCCTGGACCACTCCCAGTTGGCGAGAAAGAACATTTACAAGGGTCCGATGTGAAGACGTCCCAAAGGAGCTGCATCTTCCAGGGAGTTGGAAGTCTCGAGCCTTCATAAACTTGTCCTCTGGTGGGAGGACAATGCCCAGAAATGTTTTGAAAAAGTAACCCAGAAACACAAAGTCCTGAGAAGGGGATACTTCCGACTTCTCTCTGGAAGGAATGAAGCCTTTCAGCAAGAGCTTCAGGACCAACTGGGTACTCTGTATCAACAAATCCCAGACCATGTGTAACATGAGGGAATCATTGAAGTAGATGTGAACGCGAGTGGAGGAAACTCCACCACTACCTGTAACAGTTTGGTAAAAACCAGTATGGCCTGTACTTCTTCCCTCAAAGCAAAAGCCTTCTCTGGATCCTTGGGAGGAGGGAAAGAAGATTGGCCTTGCAGACAAGAGGGGTGGGGAGATCCTAAATCAAAGGAATCCCCAAAGCTCTGACATCATAGACAAGGCCCAGCTAGGAGGCCACCTGTCTAAACCAAATGTCTAAACCCTTCTCCAGCACACTGCTTAGGACTTCTTTGCAGCAGGCCGATAACCCTGTGATGAACTAGGACCACTGGACCAAGGCTTCTTGAAAGAATGCCAGAGGCCACTGAGTCCTTCTTCAGATCCTTCTGAACAGTGTGTAAAATCCTGCTGAACAGAGTAGGTCCATTGAAGAGGGCCATCAAAAGACGATAGCAGAAGGGCTCGCTAATCTGAAGGTCCCTAAGAACAGAAAACAGACTAGTGAGCATTATGGTGGCAAGCAGCAAGCACTGCAATGCCACCACTGAACATAATGCTGAATTCATGGCAGACATAAGTCTGTCCTGCATATCCTGCCTCTCCTTTTCAGAGAGTTGATCCTCAGGCAGATTTGACAATCTGTGCAGTGAAAAAATCCACATATGATAGGATACAATGTGAGAGGCACAACATTCTCTTGACCTTGTAATGTTCCATGGTTGGAACACCATCTTCTAACTTCCGGGGCAAGGAATGCAAGTCCCTTGATTCCAGCTTGGCCAGATGAGTAGCCAGCTTCCCACTCTTGATTGCATAATCGGAGGGTTTAACCCTCGATAAGTCAGTCACCCCAATTTGGAGCATGTGTAGAAGAGGAATTCTTCTCTATAACACATGCCTGGACCTGGGCTGGTCGATAAGGCACCCTAATGGGAGGATTGTTGGGGAGGAGGAACCAACAAACCACTATATCTCTGCTGAGTGGGGAAACCAATGCCCAAGGATTCCAATGAGGGAAAGGGAATGGCCCAAATCCAAACCTAAGGGTAGGAAGGCGGACCCGAGGGTTGGGAGTGATCCCAGGATTAGCCAAACTGGTCTGCCTGAGACTGGTGCGGGAATCCTTGACCAAAGGCCCTAGGAAAACCACCACTCCCTCCAGAAGCAGACCCAGGCATGTACGGGTTGGGACCATAACTGATGGGATGGTGGGGCCCCCAAATCATTCACAAGCTGGTTTGGTTGTCCTGGAAAACCGTGTGCAAACACAAGGTTAGCCTAGGGACTAGGGAAAGGCGTAGCACAGAAACCACTTGACTGTTCAACCAACCTGTAGACCAGCACAGACACCAGGTTCATGGACACTAATAAACCTGGGCCTGCCACAGAGTGACAGGAACCAGGCCACAAATGACTTGGGGGAAGGAAGACTGGGGTCCAGACCGGAAGCTAGACTCACTGACCAGAGAAGCCAAATATAAACCTAAGGGATTACTAGAAGGGACCTCAATACCTGAATGCAGGGCCTCCGGCACACCTGAGCCACCAATGGAGTTGTGACCAATGGTTAGGACAAACCTTTACCCAAATGCAAGCTCTGAAAGGACTTACGAGGGTTCCCAATCGATTGGGCCTCCCAAGAATCAGACTGAGGCTGGGAGGGAGGGGCCACCTTCTGGCTACCAACTGACGGCGCCAAAATGACAAAGGTGGTGCCAGGCGTGAGATCACCACAGGCAATGTCCTGAGACAACCTTTGGGTAGACTTATGTAATTAATTATCAGAGTTTTAGAAGCTTTTTCAAATTTGGATGTTTTTTTTTTTTGTTTTTATAACTGAAATCAAGAGAGAATTTAGCTAGGATCAACAAATACTTTGAGTAAGGCAGGGTATTCAAGTTTTTAATTAAAGTGTAAAATTTGAGGATATTGTGCTGTGGTATTATTTCTTGATGTTTTGAACAAATTGATTGATTTGATGCTCAGAAATGATAAATTTGTTATGGTATTAAGGGCAATTAACATCAGGTAGTTTGAAC